TGACTGCCCTTGTGCAGGCGGTGACACCCGGATCAGCTGGGAGGGCGAAAAGAACCCGTGATGCACCTGAAACCCCAAGAAGGGGCACGGGAGGAGCTGAGGCGGGTGCATCTGAGCAAGGCCTGTTATATGCGGGTGCAAATCCACCAAAACGACGCCCAAAATAAAAAATGAAAGAGGGCCCTCGGGTAATGAACAAATGTCAGTGGTGACAGGTGCCATGAAAACACCCGATCAGGAGGCCATTGGCCGAGGGCACTCCAGGCAGAGGTGTGGAAGGTGGAGGCCCCCAGCGAGCAGGAAGAAGAGTGGAGAAGGGCCGGCAGGTGACCTTGTTAGGTTAGCCCTGGCGGGTCCTGTGTGGTGTGGGCGTCCTCGCATTGGCGTGCACTGGTCACATCCAGCCCGGCTTCCCGGCCTTAGGCATCCTTGCTGCTCTTGGTGGGCGACAGTGTGCAGCCCTGTCTTCCGTGTTGCTTTCCTGTGCTTCACGTGACGTCCCTCGCTGGTGTTCCCCGTCCATCGTTTTCCCGCCCACTCAGGATCTCTTTCCTCCTGGCTGAGCAGCGGCGGGGTAGATGCAGTAGACTTCCTGGTACGCGCTGCTGTGGCGCTCGCTAGTGCGTGCCTCCTGTGTAAGCGGTGCTGCCCTGGGGGGCGCTGCTCTGCGCGCTGGTTCACGTCTCTACACACACAGTGGGTGTGGGATCGCGGCGTAGCTCAGTGTTCAGGGAACCTCTGTAGTGTTCTGCACTGTGGCTGTATCATCCACGTCCTGCCCGTGCTGTGTGCTTTTCCTGCCCTCCCTCCTTCCTGCGTTGCTTCCTTCTTTATGATAATAGCCATTCAAACTGCGGTGAGATGGAATCTCATTCTAATTTTGATTTGCATTTCCTGGCTGGCTAATGATATTGAGTACTTTTCATATATTATTGGCCATTTTAACTCCTCTTTTGAGAAGTATTTATTCAGCTCACTTGTTTGTTTTTTAAATTGCATTCCTTATTTCAATGATGTTGAGATTTTGAGGTATCGACTCACAGATGAATAATTGGCAAAGATTTTCTCCCATTCAGTAGGCTGTTTCCTTGTGTCTGTGCTGAGGCTTTGCAGTTCGAAGTAAGCCCACTTGTCAGTTTCTGCTTTTACTTCCTGTGCTTTTGGGGTCCTACCCAGAAGATCATTGCTATGTACATGGTGGTGAATCTATGGCACATGTGTTTCAGTGAGCCCTTTGTTATCACTAAAAGCTCGAAAAGGTTCGCCATTACTAGCATTAGTACAGTTTCATCCTATACTAAAATCTTTGGTTTGTTTTGTTTCAGTTTTTTGAGACAGGGTCTCACTATGTAGCCCAGGCTGGCTTGAACTAGTGGTGGCCCTCCTGCCTCAGCCGCCTGAGTCTGAGATTACAGGTGTGCACCACCACACCTGGTTTATACTAAAGTCTTGAAGTGAGTCCCCTATGTTTTACCTCTAGTAATGTCAGAGTCTCAGCCCCTCCATTAAAGTCTCTGATCATTGTGAGTTGAGGAAGGGTCCTCCTCCAGTCTTCTGCATTGGCTCTCAGGTTTCCCAGCAACCCTGTCAGAGAGGCCCTTGCGTCTCCAGCCTGTGTTCCCTTTGTGGAGTGCAGATGTTGTTCTGGTGCCATTTGATCTAAGAGCCAGTGACTTGGCAGTACTCTCACTAGGACTTAGGGTTTCAGTGGGGCACTGCAGACGGGACGCTCATCTTGCCAAAGTCACTGTGCAGAACAAACTGCAGCAGCTCAGGAAGCCAGGTTCTGGCTGGAAGTGGGAGTTGCTGCAGCTGGTGGAGCGGAATCCGTGGGCGCTGGCTGTTTCCTGGGTGCAGCGGTGATGTCCCAGTGGCCTGCTGCAGGGATCAGAGGAGCAAGGATACTGTAACTTCTACCTGAACACTGGAGCGTCCTATAGGTGAACATGGGGGAGCCGGTTTCTGGGAGAGGCTGGGGAAAGGCTGCAGGGTGATGGCAGACTTGGGACTCGCTGGTTTAGAATGCTCAGCCCACAGGAGCAGTGGCCCTTCAGGGAGAAAGTGATGGAGGTGAACATCGGGAGTCCCAGAGCACAGCTGAGAAGGCCAAACAGGGCAGAGTGGAGCCGGAGGGACTGGGGAGAGGAGGAGGGGAGGAGCTGCTGCCCACCTGGAGAAGCCCTGGGATCTGTAGACACCTGGGAGTGGGGGCGAGGTGGCTGGAGGGTACAGTAGTTGAGCAGGGAGCACTGTGGGTGCTCTCTGTGGGTGGGAGTTGGGAGGAGGCCCCTAAGCAGGGCAGAGGTTGGGGT